CCCCAAAACCCCAAAACCCCAAAACCCCATAAGTATTCATTTCATGGTATGAATCTGATTGAAATAAATTTGACTATTAATAAAATATACATAAACAAAATGACATCTAAAAAGGGAATCGAGTTTGAAATATCTATAAGAGCAGCTACTATTAACAGTCCAGATCAAACCAATCTCTAAGTTTTATGGATTAGAGGTAATTAGATACTATAATATTTATCTTGAAGGGCCCAAAAAGATTGATACTAGAGTAAAATAAGTTAAAGATGGCAAAGTCGCATTCAATGAAAAGTTTTAGATGAAAACAGCCATGGAAATAGGTGATAATGGAGAAGTATTGCCTAAACCTGTATGAATTTTATAGCATTTATAAATACTTTTTATAGACCACTCTATAACTGATAGAAACAGACTCCAAGAAATTTTTAGGAGAGTGCATCCTAGATCTAGCAAAATATTGCGCAACCCCAGAGACATCAGAAAAACTTAAGCTGGAATAATGCGAAGATGACAAAGCCTATATTGAGATAAGAGTACGAGCAAAGGAATCTGATGATACAGCTACTCCATCTCACAGAGGAAGCATTACTCAGTAAGCAAATGAATCATAATATATTTTAATAGGAGAAGAAAGACAATTCTGCAGCAGGATAACACAGATATTCAGTCCTAAAGAAGTAATATTAGAGACGACAAGGAGGAGTAAAAGCTAATGAATCAACTAGAAAATCTACTTAATGAAATAGATCTACAAAGAAAGCAGAACCAAAAAAAATAACAGGAAATTGAAGGCAAGAAACAGTCTTAAAATGATTAATATGCTCACCTATCGGATATTGATAAGGATAAGCTGATTGTTCTTGATGGTCAAATAAAGAATAAAAAAGACGTTTTTGATAAAATGAGTGTTAAAACAAAAGAGCTTGAGAGTGAGGCTGAAAAACTAAAGCAGATGACTAATTTATCTGAACTAATGAAGATCAAGATGCTTTGTGATAAAACTTAAAGAGAACACGATTAATTTGAGAAGGAAATAGCGGATTTTTATGATATCGATAGGTTTTAACTCTGAAGAGAATACATCAATACTCTAATTTAAATGGCCTTGTAGCTTAATGAGGCTGTGATATTCAAAATAATTACTTTTCTGAAATAATTTAAACATTTTGAGAATTTTTTTTCAATACATCCCATGGGGTTTTGGGGTTTTGGGGTTTTGGGG